TGTGGCGCTAATTTAAAAATATTTGGAAGGAATCTGCTGTAAATTTTGTCCATTTGTGAAAAACCGGAAGGACTTATTGATGTAATTTGGAGTCTAGAAGGCTACATAAAAAGTTACATAAATATTTGGCCCCCCTTTCTTGAGTTTGACGCATGTGACCTCAGGCAATTATCAACAAAAATAATCATTTAGATCAGAATTACCAAGCCAAGGCACCACTGAGTATAAGAAAATAATAGCTAAACTAGTTTTCAATTTCAGCTGTAGTCATATTTAGTTATATTCCACATGATCCAGTTCATTTCTTTCTGTTTACAGCCACTTAATGTTCTTTTTAAAACACTAGCATATGTTCCAAAAATGAAAAAGAAAGACAGCAGCTTTATGGCATAACAACATGTCAATATGCCATAAAGTTCATGTCAGCATAAATTTAGTCCTACGTCTTGTAGATAATTTAGCTGACATAGACCCAGGCTATCTTTTTAGTAAATAAAATAATGTTTTGTCAAGTAAGGGTTTTTATTTACATGTTTTAATTCTACAGAACTTATTGGTGTAGCTTTTACTTTTACCAAAAGGCAAATGATTTTTTATATTTTTTTGAGGTTCAGATTAGTGTAAAATTTTACCAAAGATTTATTTGTTGGTGATTTCTATGATTATATTTTAAATGTGGGGCAAATGTAGTAAAGTTGTCTGTTCTGTTTTACATTCAGATGCAACAGAAGGCAACGTTTTCACCGCCACATATGGAAGCGCCATCATCGCACCCGCTGTTAGTCATGTGAACATAACCAATGGCAATCTTATTGTCAATGCAAACTGCACAAATGGTAATAATTTGAAATTAATTTTAAAACATGTCTGATCTATGATTTAGTTTAAATTTGTCTAATTTAGAATTGTGAATTTCCTTCAAACCAGATTAAAAATGACCTAAAAATTTCAGCTCATTTCTGTTTCAGCTCCAGTCACAACAGACCAAGTAAACCTGGTCAAACTCAAAGGTAAGATGTATAGAGCTGTTCATCTCTGTGGCTGAGACAAGATGCTACTTAATACTGTCATGTAGGCTTGCACTATTTGTGTTACACTAAAAAGTGACACAAACAGAAGATGAAAAAGAAATAACACAATAAAATTGACCCCTTTCACAATGCAAAGAAACCCAACATGTATATGAACAGCTGGAAAAAATTAAGAGTCCACTTAAAATTATCTGCTTCTCTGATTTTAGATTTTATAGGTAATGTTTGAGAAAAATAAACTTTTTTGTGTGTGTTCTGTGAACTACTGACAGCATGTCTCTGAAATTCCAAGCAAAACTTTTGCATTTATCTACAGAAAATGAGAAATGGTCAAAGTAACGAAAACGATGCAGTACTTTCAGACCTGAAATAATACAAAGAAGATAACAATACTGATGTTTTAACTCAGGAAGAGTTCAGAAATTGTTTTTTGGTGGAATAACCGGGAGGTTTTTGATGGGGTTCGGTGCAGTGGTCTCTTACTTTTTTCCAAAGCTGAATATTCATAGAGTATGAACTTTGAATCTAGAATCTAAAATTTTATTTTTGGTTTTAATCTTTCAGAGAACATCCAAAATTGCCAAGATGAACTAAAATCCTACCTTCAGTCGAGGACGATGAATCTGTCTCAAGGAACAGAGAAAGAAACAGCATCAACGTCTTTAAATAAAATTTATACGGAGCTTTACATCACAGAGGGAGACAGTGGTGAAGTCAACAGGGAACATGAGGTTATTGAATTGGAGTGTACAAGATCTACAAATGACGAAAGAAAGATAGATCTCAACGCCATTTTCAGTGCTTTATCAAATGAAGAAAAACCACCACAGAGAGTTTTGACAAAGGGAATTGCTGGTATTGGGAAAACAGTGGCTGTGCAGAAATTCACTCGGGACTGGGCAGACGGAGAAGCCAACCAGAACTTCACATTTGTGTTTCCCTTCACATTTAGAGATCTAAACTTGATAATCGAGGAAGAGTTCTCTCTCATCGACTTAATACGCTACTATTTTGAAGAAGTCGAGTGTTTGGATGATTCAGATTACAAAAGCTCTGAAGTTTTATTCATCTTTGATGGCCTGGATGAAAGTAAATTTCCTCTGAACTTTGACAAAAACAAGATGTGTCGCAGTGCTACAAGGAAAACAACAGTAGACGTATTACTTACAAACTTATTCAAAGGCACATTGCTGCCCAAAGCTTCAGTTTGGATCACAACTCGACCAGCAGCAGCCAATAAGATTCCTTCAAAACACATCAACAGAATGACAGAGGTACGAGGTTTTAACGACGAGCAAAAGGAGGAATACTTTCAAAAGAAAATCAGTGACAAGACTATTGCTCAAAAAGTCTTGGATCATCTTTTGTCAAAACCTTTGAGAAGTCTCTACATAATGTGCCACATTCCTATGTTTTGCTGGATTTCAGCCACAGCACTTCAAAGCCTCCTCATGAATGAGGATCAAGCTGAGCTCCCAAAAACTCTGACAGAAATGTACATGCATTTTCTGATCAAACAGACGGAGCTGAAAAATCAAAAAGATTACCATGGAGGTGATACTGACAGAGATATGATTATGAAATTGGGAAAACTGGCATTTGAGCAGCTACAAAATGGCAACATAATCTTTCGTGAAGAAGATCTGAAAGAATGCAACATCGATCTGAAACAAGCTGCTGTTTACTCGGGCGTTTGCACACAGATCATAAGAAAAGAATCTGGTCTACACAAAAAGGAAGTTTACTCTTTTATACATTTAAGCGTTCAGGAGTTCCTTGCAGCTCTGTATGTACACAAGACCTTCGTAGATCAGCAAAAAAATCTTCTCAGCCCAAAAACTCTGATTCCGGTGTCTGAGGGAGGAGAAAGTCCAATTATCTTTCTACACAAAAGTGCTGTGGACATGGCTTTGAATAGCGATCATGGACGATGGGACTTGTTCTTACGGTTCCTGGTGGGTCTCTCTCAAGGCAAAAATCAGGGGCTTCTTCAGAAAATATTTGGAAATAAAGACAAACTTCCACCGAATCGTGAGGAGACAATCGACTACATTCACCGTCAAATCCAAAAAACCTCATATAACAACAAGAGTATTAATCTATTCCATTGCTTAAATGAGTTAGGAGACCAATCTCTTGTACAGCAAGTCCAAAAGTATTACAATTCAGGGGATGTCAGCAAAATTTTACCAGTCCATTGGTCAGCTCTGGCTTTCGTGCTGCTTGTTTCCAATGACGACTTGTCTGTCTTCGATCTGAGAAAGTACTATGGATCTGAAACAGTTCTGGAGCGGCTGCTGCCGGTGCTTAAAGTAGCAAAGACAGCTTTGTAAGTAAACCTAACTCATGTTGGTGTATAGGATTCTTTTTCTTTTTTGCAAAATGCTTACCATAATTTTCTTGCTCAACTCAGGTTAAGCGAGAGTAACCTCACTGACAGGTGCCTCAGTTATGTGTCTCCGGTTCTTATCATGAAGTCTGGAGGACTGGAAGAGCTGGACCTAAGTGGAAACAATCTGAACGACTCCGGAGTGCAGCGGCTCGCTGAAAGCCTGCAGGATGCCAGCTGCAAACTTTCAAAACTCCGGTGAAATATATAACTTTTTCCCTTTGTAAGCAAGGTGTTTGTAATTGTTTTGTTATCATTCTTACATTAGCAGTTTTACTAGTTTGTTTTTCATTTAAAGGTTTAGTACTCACACCCCAGAAAGGAGGAATTTGTTAAGCCATATGAAAACCAAAACTTGCTTTTTCTTCAAACCTTGAAGCTGCAGCTGTTTTCTTATCTTGGAATACTCCTGGTTCTGTGAAACTGTATGCATGTGTAGGATGTTAGTTCCTTCTTCCCCATTCTTTGATTTGTTATTTTTAGTTACTGTTTGCTTGCAAAGCAGGCTTTATCACTGAAGTGCGCGGACGGACTAATTTACCCAATGCTCATTTGTGTAGCATAACTTTACTGAAATAAAGTGCAAAAATGCTTCCAAACTGATATTGGTTTAAACATAAAACATTTGTCTCTTGTAAAACTAAGGACACAACACAGACCTGAGTCTGATCTTTTCTTTATTAATGTTTTTATCTCACTTTTATTCTGTGATGCAGATTAAAACAGTGCAGCATGACAACATCAGGAATCCCGTCTTTGGCCAAAGGAATAACATCTAATCCATCTCATCTGAGAGAGCTGGATCTCAGCAAAAATAAACTTCATGACGAGGGAATGATGCTGCTTTCTGGTGTTCTTCGGAAGTGCTGTTTGGAAACTTTAAGGTAAAAGATGTTTGTGATTAAGTATAAATTTCCACATGATCATGCTGAAATAGAATAATTTCTCTGCAGACTCTCTGGGTGTGGTCTTGAAGAGAAAGGATGCACAAGTCTGGCATCAGCTCTCCGCTCCAATCCATCTTATCTACAGAACTTGGATTTGAGCAGGAACTGCTTCAGCACAAAATCAGTCATCGAGCTTTCTAACTTCTTGCAGCGTCCTGACAGTAAGCTGCAACGGTTGTGGTAAGCTTTGACAAAAAGAATGAGATCTCTCCACTTCTGCTAAATGTAAACACCTAAAAAGAAAAAACATTTTCATCAAAATAATTAAATGCATGATTATCTAAAGGCTGTTTTTTGTAGGGATGCAATTATAAAACAATTATTGTTTTTCAGTATTCGTCAGTCCCCAAGTTTCAGAGTTGAAAAATGAATGTACTAATATTCATCTAGCCTTTCAAAAGCACAATCAATATTTATTGACCAGTTGTTTATTTTGTGGCCTTTAGGCCAACCAGATGCACTGACTGTGTACATGGAAATCGATTAAACTTAAGTTCATAAAGTTAAGTCTTTCATCTATGTAAACTCTTCTGGTTTTTAAGAAGAAGTGAGCAGACATCTACTTTTGTTCCAAGGCTTTTCAAAACAAACCTACAAGCGGATGATGCAGCTGCTCTGGTCTCAGCTCTCAAACCCGACCTCTCAAACCCGACCACTCCTAGGAATTGGACCTAGGAGCCAACGCAATAGGTGATGCTGGTGTGCAGACACTTTCTGAACTGCTGAAGAGTCCAAACAGCAAACTTGAAGCCCTGAGGTAAGAAAAACTTTATGCTGCACCAATATTGACATAAATTTAGATCAAAAAAATTTAGAAAATGTTGAAGATGCTCAAATGTGCTGGAGGTGAATACAGAAAACCTAATTTGTGTGCTTTTGCTAATACAACAATCGGTCAGTTAAACATGACCCTCATTTCTATGTTTTTTTTTTATTATTATTATTTTATTTATTTTTACCACAAATAAACACTTTTTTTCCAGTCCAGTTTTACAGCTTAATTCACTTTTATTGCCCACAGGCTTCAAGGTTGTCGCTTCACAGATGAAGGCTGTGCCTTGTTGGCTTCATCTCTGAAGACAAACCCGGCTCATTTAAAAGATCTAGATCTGGGAAGAAACATCATGAAAGAACACGCAATCGAAGAACTTTCCAAGTTCTTGGAAGACCAAAGCTGTCGACTGGAGATACTGAAGTGTGTACCATGTGCAACATGCTCTCACATTGTTTTCTCTACAAGAGATAAAACTCAATGCAGAATTCCACCCAAGTTGTAAATATAGCTATATACTAAACTATATGTTCACCAAGGTACCAACAATGTAATTCTCAACCTATTTCATCAAAGACAGCTTGTGTTATTGCAACTGTATGCATTTTAGATAGATAATCAAGGTACCTGGAATACTGTTGTTTTTTAAATGGTTATTATTGGGATTTTTTATGAATAAAAATCCCAATACTAAAAATGTCTATCTTTTCTTGCAGCCTGAAATGTTGCATTGTAACCACAGCTGCATGCAAGCTTCTGATTTCAGCTGTCAGTCGTTGCTTTTTCCTCCGAGAGCTCGACCTCAAGTACAACCTGTTCCTGGACGAGAGCCTGAAGCTGATGTGTGATTGGCTGAGCAGAACCGAATGTAAATTAGAAGTGCTGAGGTGAGACTTGTTTTGTGTTTTTTTAGCAGGATGACTGAAGACTTGAACCAAATGTTTGTTGGTTGTGGTTGTTTATATGAGATTGAATGCAGGTGTTTCGTGAAGAACAAAAAAAATAAATAAATAAAAATGTTTTGTGGTGATTACCTTCCACCTTTGAATTTATGAAAAAATCAAAAATTCAGAACAAAAGCATGAACAATTAAGAAGTAACTTAAGTCATTAAAAGTTCAGATTTGAGTCCTGAGAAAAATATTTAAAAGAAGAACCTGAGTTATCGTTCCAGTAAGCCAACATATGTAAAGGGTAAACATATAAAAGTACAGATTAACTTATGAAGAGGCAGGTAAATTAGGAAGAAAAGAGAAAAAAAATGATTCCAACGCTTTACCTCAACAGATTTGAAGAAAGTAACAAAAAAAAAATAAAAATAAAATAAAACTGGAAAGATTTATTGAAGAGAAGGCTTTTTGTGTAACTCTCCAGGATAGAGTGAGCATGTTTTTTTTTGTTGTTTTTTTTTCTTTAACTTACTTTTGAGAGTTGCTGGAAGATTTAAGAACTAAGACTGAGGTTTGAGGTGGAGTCAGATTCAGTTTCCCAAAAACATGGCGGCACTAAGAGTCGGATAAAAAAAAACTAACCAAACAACAGTTTTCTTGGTCCGACACGAATTTTATATCCAGAAATGTGTATCTGCAGCTTAAATTACAAATGTTGCCTGTAAAGAAACCATTTCGTACACATGTGCTTAAACACTGAACGTTTTAACTTTGGACTCAAGAGGGAAATTTTTCAGATTTTGTTTAATTGTAATTACTTGTACATTATCTCTACAGTCTTCATATTACACCCTCTTTTGATTGACTTTGACATTTACCTATTTCTTCCAGGTTGTCCTTTGTTAAAGAGAACACCTGTGTGTTGCTGGCTGCAGCTCTGAGGTCAAACCCTTCACACCTGAGAGAGCTGGAGCTGAGCAATTTAGAAGAATCAGTGAAGCTCCTGACTGACTTACAGAAGAACGATGACTTCAAACTGCAGACGCTGATTGTGACAGATCAAAATGTGTTCAAAGAACACGCCCTGTCAGTGACACTGAGAGAGAAATTGAAAAAATTAGAGTTTATTTGACATGACGTCCTGCGTGACTACTACAAGTGTTAATTTTTTCGTTATGTCCTTCAGTTTGTTTACTACCTCAATGTTTTATTCTTTAATTATGTAAATTCACAAATGCTTTAAACTTGACTGTCTATTGTCTTAAGATTTGCCCCATTTTGGATGGGAAGACTGTTACTTTTGCATAGGCAGAGGTAATCTAGACTCATGGTACGGTTCTGAGCGCTCATATAATATTACTTTTTGACAATCTACGGTCAATAATATGTATTTTTTTACTTTTTGAAGTATAATAAAAATGTATTTTATGAGATTTTGGTAGTGGTGTTATGGTGGTGGGTCAGGGTGCAGCCTGGAGGAACTTGATAGCAGCAACAGTAAGTGGCCTCAAAGTTCAAAACAACTAAGCATTTAATCCGTAATTTTTTATTTTTCCTTTACATGATATAGTTTGAATTTTGTCGGTTTGAGCAACTGGTTCTAGGTCTTATGTTACACAGGAAAAGAAACTATAGGATGTTTTTTATTTAGTGATTTTGATTTAATGTGGTAATTAGATCATTTGCACACAAGAGGGCAGTGTAATGCCAGAAACAAAGGGAGTGGTCACCTTGTCTTTTGGTTGGATTAGCGTCGACCGGAAGTCTGTTTGCTTTTGCGAAACCACAGAGTTGCTTTGGTATCTATACTTTACTGACTTTTTGTGAATTCTCAAGAGGAATATAATTTTATTTGTTCAATTATCAGTTTAGCATATTGTGTATCAAATTAAAATGGACAAAAGTTACTTTTAAAATCTTTAAAATAAATACTTAGTGTTGTATTAAGATTCTCATATTTGCTTGCTGAAGGATTTGAGTTTGCATAATGAAAAACTATCCATGGATATGGAGGATATGCAAACTCCACAAAGAGAAACTGAACCCAAACCCTTCTTGAGTCTAAGGTAAATAATGCTAACCACCGCTAACAGCTAGTTGGGCTGGCAAACACACAAATGTGTTCCGGTGTTGCCCCCATGCGGCTCATAGAAGTACTGCAAGTAACACAATTTGTACAGTATTTATTTTTTATGATTTTTTTACATTCCAAATTTTAATAATGTAACTTAGTTCATATTGTTATGTGATTCATATGATTTTTTTAGATGATTTATATTTGATTACAAAATAATAGCAAGTTGTTAGGCTGTTCTTCATGCCCTATTTACTCTTTTACTGCTTGCTCTTCCTTCCTAATCAACTGTTCTTGGTTTCCTACATTCACACATATTTTTTTGTACAATACTAGGAATTTTCTTTTCAAGTTAAATTCAGCATTAAATGGAATTTTTCAAATGACTCAAGCGGTGCAGAAACTTGTTACTGGCAATGTTCTGATCTGTGGTTTATACCACTGACTCTTAGACATCTTAAACCTCATGATACATAATGCATAATGTGCAGCAAGATTGATGTAAGCAACTACCATAACCACAAAAGTCTTTCTCTGAGGTTTTGCTCAGTTGGTGCAGTGACATTTCTTTTAGTGTCTGGTGTTTTTCATTTTGTTTAATTTTTTTTTACCACTCTGTGGAATTATTGAGTTACAGTAATCTGTATCTGTTAGAGGTGAGTCGCAAAGATCTGATGACAGTTATCTGGAAAAGTATATGACTTATATATTTATACACATCACACAGCACAAAAAGTAGTCACAGAAATTTTAAGTATATTTGATCTGGAAACATATTCAGTTGTAACTGCTGCAAATAATAGTTTTCTATACTTCGCAGCTGCATGATTTTGTCTTTGTCAGTCAGTATGCAATGCGATTGAGGAAAAGTTCAAAGGAATGAATGATTCTGCAAAAGACTAAAATATGTTGATTACTACTCATAATTTACAGAACATTTTAAAGAAATTGGATTCTTAAACATTCCTGAACCTTTATTTCCGAGTCCTTCATGGCCTTCTTGATGCTGATTTTTTTTTCCCAACAAATATTCTTCAACAAATCTTAGTTCATTCATTGGGTAATTTCTTTAGGCAACTGGATGTACTGGATTTTATTTAGGAATATAAGAGTGCATGTGTTTGCATAGAAATTTATGCTGGACTTTTTAGATTTTGATTTGTAACAAAGATCTGAAAAGATGTGCATCATTTTTCTTCTGTTTTAAAATTAATTTAAACTGCAAATCTGATTTAAATAGGTCTTTAGGAACTTTACTGTAGATGTGAAATTTGTTAAAATTGGTTTATTTATTTTACAAATGAGTTTTTTTAGTTATTTTCTCCTGACTTTTATTGCTAATAAGTTATGTTACTCTTGACAGTTGGTTGTTACCATAGCTGCCAGTGACAGTCAGTCGTTTTCTGTTGCCGTCTGTAAATCTGGTATGTATTAGGATCAGCTCTGTGTTTTCCTTACCAGTTTTACATTTCAGCTTTTATTTGAAACAAATCTTTGTGTAGGGCTTTATGTGCATTTTCACCACATTTAGATTATTTTTTTACATCCATTTCAGCTTTATTTTAATTTGTAACTGTTAATTATTTTGTCAACTGTTCATTGGGAACTAATCTCTGTGTACTTTGTTTAGCTTTATTTATTGTATTTATTTGTTATGCATATGGACAGAAGCTGCTAGATTGATGTTAATCACCAACTTGGCTTTTCTCTGTGAATTTGTTGTTTTTTTTTTTTACATACAAAGTAATGTTTTTGTTACAATCGTGTGTAACAAAATGTGTGAGTGCATTCTCTTTCCTTCATCAAAATGTACATGCTTATTGTTATTTATGCTAAAAGTTAGTGAATTAATTATGAAAATATATGCAGGCTGTTTATCTCATTATTGTTTATCTTTAGAGCTGAAGCTTCTGCTTAATCATAACCACCAACTTAGATTTTTTTTTTTTTTTCTTGTAAGAATAAATGAAGTAAACCCAAGTGAGTGTTGTCAAGAGAGCCGACTGAGTCAGAAGGAAAAAGAAGAGTTACATTCTGCACTCAGTCATGCACAATAAATTAGTGGTCAGATTAAAAGTACCTTCAACGTGCATTTATCAAAGTCTAATTTTTGATGCAATTCTGGGCTGTAAGGTTAAAAATATAACCAACATTAACATTCTGACTTACTGCATGATTTTGATATTTTTTATCTCTATCCTTTTCAGCCATCAGGTCATTAAAAGCTTCAGAAATCAAACGTTGCCGTGTTGGTTTTTAACGACTGCGTCGTCATAGCAACGGTTGTTGCGGAAGTCGCCGTCGCCGCGCGCGGGGGGGGGGGGGGGACGAGAAGTGCTCGGTCTTCACGCGAGAGCAGAAACCAGGTGGGAGCCCCGGACCTGAGGTAAACACTAACACGGTTTACGGACGCGGGTTTTTGTGAAACATGATCCCTGTCGAGTACATCCCGGGCTGCGTGGTGCCTCTGGTAACTCCACAGGTCAGAGAGGCTGAGAGAGAGAGATGGGAGCACTGAAGTCCAGACCGGATCCGATTGAATACTCTGGTCTGTCGGAGAAAACTGGCTGTGAGTAATCATTATGTGTTGTCGAAACAGTCCCTGACGCACGAGAGGGAAGTGTAAATAAGAGCTTCCTGACATGCAAAAGCGTTTTCATTGTCAGTCTTGTCTCAAAGGGAGGTGCAAAAAAAAAACTAAACTAAAACACAAAAAATGCAAGCGTTACTCTTTTAATAAGGACAAACCACCATTTGGTTTCGTGCTGAAAAAGACGCGTGAACCTGCCATATTTGGCGCAGGAGTGATAAATAATTTAGAGTGAAAGTTTAGGGAAGTGTAACATTATCCTTTACAAAGCACCATGCTGTTAATAATAGAGGTTGCTGCATCACAGCTCACTACTTGTCAAGTGAACTCCTCTATTATCTCAGAAGTTTATTGGTAGGTGCACAGAATGCAAACTGATAAAGTGGAAAAGGACATTTCAATACACAACATAGGTAGCTCGGGAAGCATCCATTAGTGAAAAGGGAGCCTTGAATTTCCAGCTTAAACTTACAAATTGTATAATTATTACAGTATTTGCTCACTTTTTGGCTTGTTTTCAGTTTCACTTAGGCGGATTAAAGTCCTCCACAACAGGTTCAAACAGCTTTCTCATGGAAGTGATGTCTTAAGGTAAGCTGTAAGTTCCTCATTTTTCACTGATTTCTTGGATATTGAGTCCTCTGTGCGTACTTAACTCATTTACAAACCATTTCCAGTAACAGATCATGATATGCCAACATAATTGTTTTTTAAACTGGAAACCTTAATTACAAAGCTTCAACTATTTACATATTGGACCAAGTTTGACATCTCAATTTCCTTTACTTCTCTCAGGAGGGAAGATTTCAATTGCATCTCTTATCTGAAAAATAATCCCATTCGTAAAGACATCATAGAGGCTTTCTTTAACCGAAGGTACAGTACAGCGATGAATCTTAATTCTGCATTTATGACTAATAATTTCTGTCTTTTAATGTAACTCCTCTAAATGTCCTCTAAAATGTAAAACAATTCAAAGAAAAAAAAAAAAACAGCAAAAAGCCAAGAGTGCAACAAAGAAATCTGTGGAACATTGCAGCAATGTGAAACATATTTAATAGTAATTTTTGATTTTCTCATATTGTCATGCAATTCTCTTTATTTTAAAATGAAAATATCATCTTATTAAGAAACATACAAAGCAAGAAATGTAAAACAAATGAATCTTTATTCGCACTTCCCTGTTTTTTTACAGCATGTAATTAATTTTATGTCTTGATTAAGAAATAAGAAATCAATAGTTCCTGTCCCTGCAACAGGAAGCACTACCATATATGGACAATGACATGCAGTCTCGTGAAGAACAGTTTTGTTCTTCAGTAAAAGGTTTTTTTTTTTTTTTTTGAAGAAATATATGAACTGGATGTGTCACAGCTTATTGCCAATGCAGAAGGATGGTGTCAGCACTTTTACCTTCCCCATAGATCCTCTGTGCAGGAAATAAGGGTTACCCGTGTGCTGTCAGCTGTTTTCTGAACAAAACAATGTCCAGCTAATCACAATCTCTGATCAGTCTAATCTTGAAGGGTGATCCAAAAATGCAGGAATTACTCTTTTAATAAGAACTAACATCACCATTTTGTTTCTGGCTGAAGAGACTGCGCAGATTTATACGCAGGAGTGACGACTAATTTAAAGTGAAAGTTTATTGTTGGACCTGCCTACTGTTATTGCTGGTTACCAGAAGCTTCAGGATTATATATATATATATATATATATATATATATATATATATATATATATATATATATATATATATATATATATTCTCACCCACCGCGGGTGGTTCTTATCCTCTGAGCTCGGGTCCTCTACCAGAGGCCTGGGAGTTTGAGGGTTCTGCGCAGTATCTTGGCTGTGCCAAGGACTGCACATTTCTGGACTGAGATGTCTGATGTTGTTCCTGGGATCTGTTGTAGCCACTGCTCCAGTTTGGGGGTTACTGCCCCGAGGGCCCCGATGACCACAGGCACCACTGTGGTCTTCACCTTCCAGGCCCTCTCCAGTTCTTCCCTGAGGCCCTGGTATTTCTCCAGTTTCTCGTGCTCCTTTTTCCTGATGTTACAATCACTTGGTATTGCTACATCTACCACAACGGCTTTCCTCTGATGTTTATCCACTACGACAATGTCTGGTTGGTTCGCCATTACCATTCTGTCTGTCTGGATCTGGAAGTCCCACAGGATCTTAGCTCTGGCGTTCTCCACCACCTTGGGGGTGTTTCCCACTTTGATCTCGGGGTTTCCAGTCCATATTCTGCACAGATGTTTCTGTAGACTATGCCTGCCACTTGGTTATGTCGTTCCATGTACGCTTTCCCTGCCAGTATCTTGCACCCTGCTGTGATGTGCTGGACTGTCTCAGGGGCCTCCTTGCACAACCTCCAATAAATTTAGATATATATTTACATGTATATAAATATATATATGCAACATAATTTCACTCTTAAGAAACCTGGGCTCAGTTTTCTCTATTTGATTGCTTATTATTATTGTTGGTATTATTGTGTGCAAGTTAATTCTTAGACATGGTGTGTATACTTTTTTTTGCTTTTATTGCAGAAACTTTTCCCAGAATCAACGGGGCAAGGCAGAAGAGATTGGCTTTGAAGAATTTCTGGTGATCATGTCTTATTTCAGGCCCCCGTCTACAAAAATGACAGATGAACAGCGTAAAAGTATGAGGAGAGAGAAACTTAAATGTATGTTTTGTCTTCAGGGAATCTTTAACCCATGTTTGTTGTTTGCCAGTGGCTGGCCTAAAAGTTGCATTTTTCTCTGCAGTTATATTCAACATGCATGACTCAGATGGCGATGGATTGATAACGCTTGAGAATTACAGACATGTGAGCTTCTTATTGAATCCAAAATAAGAATCATTTGAATTACTGTTTGACAGTCTCCTGGAAATTGAGGATTTCACCTCCAGAGATCAGAGCTGTTCTTGGTCTGATATTTCCAGTTGGTGGAGGAGTTGTTGTATCGCAGCGAAGAACTGGGGAAAGAAACAGCCAGAGCCATTGCTGATGCAGCCATGTATGAAGTGGCCAGAACAGTTGGTCACACGGTAAGGAGGTGGTTTTGAGTAGATAAAGTCATTTGCTTCATTCCTTGCACAGCCTAAATCACAAGCTTCCTGTTTTGAACTCAGGACCCCGATAAGTTTTATGAGGGAATCACCTACGAGCATTTTCTTAAGGTTTGTTCACAGAATACCTATTTTTCTTCTTTAAAAAGAAGAAAAATAGGTCACCAAATTTTGAATGTGTTGATGCATTTGTTCTTAAAATGGCACTGAAATTGATTTTAGTTAGTTTGAATGAATTTGTATGAGTCTGAAACGCAAATCCGAGTTTCTGTTTTGTTTTCTTTGCAGCTGTTGTCTAACTTTGAGATCGAACTAAGGATGCACGTTCGGTTTTTGAAGATGGATCTTAACCCTTTCTGCAAGTTAGGTTGTCAACCTTAACTGTGTGATATTAAATTCTTGTTTTGCTCTGTAGCAACATGCTTGCACTGACGATACGCCTCATATATGTTGGAACAACTATGCAAACTGAACGACAATTTCAATTTATGAGAAGACTAAATTCTAAGCAATAAGATTGCACTATGCCAACACAGAGCAATGATATTCAAACATTGATGACTTTGTTGATGTAAATTTGAACGGATGTACAAATTATTTTCATAAATCGATATTATCGTTGTCTTGTATGATCACAGAAAATATTTATGTCTTTATTATAGAATATGCATGCCTTGCATTGTTTGCACAAAAAGGGACCTTAAACCCTTTTAAGGGTTTAAGGTCTTTATTATTTGCATTTATTTAAAAAGAGATAACATTTTGGTTCAAGTAAAAAATGTACAACACACTTCTTGGGCATGAATGCTCTTTCAACTTTTGGCCTTAAATCAGACTTTTGAATTGTCTTTTTTCAATCAGAGGGAATGTCACAACTCATCCAATCCACCACAAACTCTGAGTTAAAGCCTTTACGGCATCATGACTCGATTACACAACTCTTACACCTGTTGCTATGGCTAATAGCTTTTAACATGGCTCGACTGCCGTTCTTGCCAGAATGGGTCGTTTTCTGATTCTGTTACAGATTTTTGAAATTAATAAAGTTGTACCATAACCAGTCAAGTCTGGAAAATAATTCAAAGCCAAAAATTGATGTAACATTCATGCCAACAAAGAGTGCAGGTTTGTGAATGGAACTTTATTTAAAAAAATATCCACTTCTATTGTTAGCAGTGTTCAAGAAATGAATGGTATCTGGATACAAACGACTATATATGTGAATGCAGGGGCTTGAACATGCAAAGTTTTATTTTTGTAATGCTCCTTGATCAAATATATTATGGTTTGTCTCATGGAAAAATGTTTTTTTGTTGTTTTCTTTCTATTACAGAAGATATTTATTTCTAGTTGTGAGCAGTAAGTGCCAGTTCCCTGCACTCTATAGACGCAAACTAAAGGAACTGTTTATTTTTTGTATCTCTCTAGAGGAAAAGGGAACTTTGGGTCTAGTGAAAAATCTACATACATTCATCATGGGCATAAAATCCATATTAATGTAGTGACTTGAATGATGCATGAACCCTTTATTTCTCAGGATGGAGTTATTGTACAACAAAGCCTCAATGATTTCTAAATAAGCAGAATAATAACATGTACATAATCTTTGTGCTACTTCATCATAAGAGGACCATTCATATATTTTAAGGTTAGTATAAGATTATGACATTTCTTTATGGAGAGAGAACAGCATTTGAGCAAATGGTGCAAAGATTTATCAGAAAAAACCATAACCTGAAATAAAAATGAATAATGGAAACCATTTTCTTTGACCAACGGTGAGAAAACCGAAGCAACTTAAAACATTTACATTTTCTCTCAAAGTTTATGGTGCAATTTTTGACAAACATAACCGACATTTTCACATACGAGTCTTTGAGAAGCTTTCTGAACTGAACGAAAATAAATACAAGCATAAAAAGCAAAACAAAATGAAACTTAAAAACAGCAAGTCAGCATTTGAACTTTATACCAAATGGTGCAGCAATAGGAAGACATGTTGTCATCTTTCTTCCTTCTGCCCACGCTTTTCTGACTGTCGGACGTTAAAAACAATCATTAAATAATGAAATTGCTTAAAAAATGAGAACTCATAAACCTGAGTCATTAGTAGCATTATTATTGTAATTGCTTATGGCCTATTATTCAGTGATAGGCCACAAGTCTATCACTGAATACTTTGTTACTGAGATATACTGCCATCTAGCGACAGTATGTCAAATTCTGGCCTCGTCACGAATCTGGCAACAAACGAACGAAATAATAATAAAAAAGCATATTTACAAATGTATGAGTAAAGTGCATTTTTCAAAATATGTATCATTTGTTTCATATCTGAGTTTTTTAACAATAGTTATTAAATTATGAAATTAGATGAGTAATAGACAAATGTAGAAACATGGATGCCATGATAAACAATGTTGTGTTCTGGTGGCCATTAATGGTCAGAAATTGTTCAGATTAAATTATGTTAAGGGTCCCAAACAGCTTCTTAGATGCTAAAGTCTGAATGTGACTGAAATCACCCTGAATGTGTGCCACATCCAAACTCATGTTATACCTGGATTCTGCATTTTCTCCTCATACATTCATATTCAGTAAATGAATCAGTTGTGAAATTAAAAATATCTTTTGAAAATGATCACCCTTCAATCTGCTATTATACATTTAACATTTTCTGTCATGTTTTCATTTGTTTCATTGTGTTTCACTTACTGAACTGAGCTGAGTTCCAATAATGCTTTAATTTATTGGATATGAGTAGTTGTGATGCAGCGCAGAAAAAAATAAAATAAAATAAAACACTTGTGGTGTCACCGCAAGATTCAACCAGACAAAGTTTCAGAAGTTATTTTCCACTTGACTCATAGCTTAGTTTATCGGAAGCTCAACTTCCAGCCTCTTTCAGTCGGTTTCTCTGAGAAGAGAGTGTTTTAAAAATAAAAGTCAAAAAATGTGTTTAAAGGAATAAAATGTGAAGGAAGGGATATTAAAGCAACTTGTATCACCCCTTTCACTATTAAAGGTTTGTGATGAGTTATATTTCCATTCTTAAGTTCATTCAAAGAGATTTTTTTATTATTATTAATACTATTATTAGCACTTCTAACTGATGAAGTTGACATTTTCTATAAGATGAGTAGTGATTAAACAGCTATGGATGCTCAATCTCTGTCGAGTGGGTTAATTAAGACTTAGATCCTCTTCTTGAATCTAATAAATTAATATTAGTTTGAATCTGATAGACTAACATCAAGCCATTGATATTTGTGAAGTGGAAGGAAAATAATACATGGTTTTCCAAAGAAAGACATTGTTGAAAGAAGGCAATAAAGAAAAAAACGTTAGTCTTCACTTAGATGTGAAGCATTGCACTTTCAGGAAACTGACTGCACATCTCAGTGCCTCATCCTCGTTGTGAAATATGGGTGGTAGCAGCATCATGCTGGAGGGATCCATGTTTGTTTTCAAATGACCATGTAAAGTTTTTCTTTCACATCGCTGTCACGCCATATTTTGTGCCGTCCAATAAGATGCATGAAAGTTTGTGGTTCTCGTGTGACAAAGTGTGGGCAAGTTTCATGGTAATAGTATTTCTGCAGTATTCGGTGAATCTGGTTTTACCGAGATGTCAGCAGCTGTGTTTATATTTCCTCAAATGTGGGCTGAGGTGTATATTATAAGCACAGTTAAAAGAAATGCACAATCCAGACTCAACAGTAGGTGTTGCCCTAATGTGCCCTCAGTGTTGCTTTAAATAAGCCAAAGTTATAACAAGGAACTTGATTCATGACCTAGAGTAAATCCCCTATCTACTTCTAGTTTCCTGACAGCTTGTGACTGGAGGAAAGTTGAACTAAAATTTGTTAATTTTGTGGAAATGATATTATCCAGAATAATAAAGCTCAAGTTTTCTACCACTTACTCATGGGGGTAACTTTATCCAAAATGTTATCATTTTGTTCCCCATCTTAATACGCCCTTGCATGAGCATCTATATAACGATGCAAAGCTGCAAATGACACACTGTTAACAAATTTAGTGGTCTGACCCTCCCAAAACACACACACACACACACACACACACCTTGTGACTGACCAGACATCCTGCTGGTTTCATAAAATCTTTCCTATCTGATGCAGCCCTGTGTTGAACACATGCGTCACTAGAAGCTGATATCACACAGTCAGCGTCTCAGCAGCTTCCCGATTTTCTTTTTAACTCCTTTTTTAGGGAGTGATTCTGTGCAAAAAACAAAAACAAAAAAAAACAGCACATGACACTTTTCAAACACTTTTAGGGGAAAAAAACAGAATTTACAGGAATAATCCCACAGACAGATCAGCTTGTGTTGCATCTTTTAATTCTATCTATGGATGCAATCAGGCGTAAACAACAGATTATTGTCCTCTGTACAGCAGAAAAAAAAAATAATAATAATAATAATTAAATTACAAAACATGCAATAATAAGCCTGTTAATCATTTCACACTTCACTCTTTCCAGGAACACTTTCAGAAAATAAATATTAAATACCATAAATATCCTCCTTTACTCTGATGTACCTGCCATCTTCAAACGCATGTTTTTGTAAGTCTGTTGTCATCTCCGAAAGTAAAGTGCTGCTGGAAACTGACCGCTGAAGGTCAGTCCCAGGTCATCAAAATAAGTTGGATTCACTTGCTGGTGCCTTTGTGCAGACTTTGCTTCTTAGAGTCCTCATGTTTTTGGACATGTTTGTGAGGAGCTTCTTGTAGGTCGTCAGGACCACACAGCCGTAGACCTTCTGCTGGAAGATGTTCTGAGGCGGTGGTAGTGTTGTGGATCCACCCGCTGGCTCCGGTAGAGGCAGGTTCGGGAAGACTTTGTGATAAAAGTTGTTTATGCGGCGAGTCAGCATCCCGGTCTGACTTATCACCATGTTAAGTTGATTTAGAAGCGGACTCTTGGGGGGCTGCATGTCTGCTTGCTGCTCGTACACCCTCTTCAGATGTGGGGAGAAGGCTTGGAGGTGTGCATACATGCTTGCTATTTTCTCTGAAGGCTCCAGCCCAGAGATGTTTGGGTCAGGGATGCCACTCGCTGAAGCTTTGCAGAGGAGCTCTGCCATTTCCCCTTGGGACATTTTCTGCAAGAGATGAATGGAAAGTTGAATCAGATTCAAAACGTCATTTAATACAGTGACAACACATGATTGTTCAGGAAAAAATGGAACCGATTTATGAATTTACTCACATATTGTTTTATTAGATCACCGGTATCCTTATGGACAAGCCTGGTGAGCCTCAGAGTCTGCTGCAGGTCATGGCTGCACTCCTGATTTCTAGCAGCTGCCACGGTTTTTGTTGAATCAACAACCACAAGCAGCAGGAAGCAGAGTAATGCTGAGGAGAAAAGAAGTGGTCAGTTGTCGTAAACTGCCTCACATTACAGGAGAAGTTCATTGACAAAACTGCCAATGAACTTCTCCACTTTCCACTATAGAACATACTGACAGGAAAAACAGACTGCCTTTTCATTTTGTAGTCTAAATATGCTGAAATTGTGTGGAAAAAAAATGTCTATGACACAAATACTGGACCAAAGAAAAATGCTAAAAGGGAATCAGACTCATTCATGCAGGAAACTGCAAACTTCAGTTAGTTTCACAACAGCCGCAAGTCACTAAAAATAGGTTGCATAATTTTAAGAAGAAAACGATCCGATGATGTTTAAAGCTGCTTTTTGAGTTGATCAGAAGTGAATGTAGGTAAACTTACTTGCTGCTCTTTCCACAAGCTGTTGAAAATGCATATTCTTTACATGACCATTCATTCTCCTCTGAGTCTCACAGTCAAATTGTGTGGACTTGTCATGATCACACTCCTTTCAAACTTCTTTAGAAGAACCCACAGGAAATGACGCGCACCGAACCTCATGAACGGCACGTCATCCTGGGCGATTTCTTCCTGACTAAAATATTAAGTTCTTCTTATCGCTATTATTCATTTTATCATTTGTATTAATTGTGACATGATTCTTGGAAATAGCATTGACTTAAACTTAAAAATAACAACATGTGTGTCATGAGATGAGGTCAATTGTCATGCATGTCTGGTCTGTGTACAGACATGTCCGGGCATTGACCTAATCCAAAGACCTGGGAAAATATCAGTGGTGGATTTAAGTCACTTGGCAAAAATAAACCATTTTGAGTTAGCGATAAGGCGTCGAGTCACCAGAAATGTTCCATGTCTTTTGGTCAGCTCAACCTTTGACACAGTTCTGGACTCACTTTCACTTAATTAACACAAATTAAAGGAAGTTCTTCCAAAAGACTTCATTTCATATTTTCTCTGGAAGATCTTAACTGTCAGATGAAACCTTCATTTTATTTTAGTTGATTAATACTTAAAAAAAATAAAATAAAATGAGAACTAAGTGGAGTTCTGAGGTGACTAGTGTGAAGTTTTTCTCTTTCTTTTTGTTGCAGAAGCAATGAGATCTTATTTACTCTGAATTTTGGTCAACTTTCTGCTTTGCAGCAATAGCTCTATGTGGTACTCCATACAGGATGCTTGTCAGGTCACAGGAAATGCGTTTCACAATCACAAACTTTACATGTGCGTAAAGATGAGTGAATCTGCGTAACCAGAAGCAATTCTGACAGGCAGAATGAACACATGAGTTCACTGCTACTCATTGCTGTGTTACGTCTTTCTGGGATTTGCGTGATGAACCACACAAGGCTTTTTAGGAAAGATGTCACTTCCGTTTGACAACACCCGTTGGTATTGAGGAACAAAATCCTGAAAGCAAACAAAATGTTAAAATACCACTGGGTCTTGCAAAATTGTTCCTACCCACTGAGTTTTTCTTATTTTTACCTTTTGATAGATGCCTACTTTCATATTATTTTAATACACTTTTGTTTTCATAGACAACATAAAGTAGCACATAGCTGTGAAGTAAAAGGAAAATTAAGCATGCCTTTTAAGATTTTTTTAGAGATACCAGCATAAAACTTATGGCAATCAGTCAATTATTAGAAGAGTAAAGGAGTAAATCTATGAAATTGACTGAAATGTTAGGCAGTTTGTCTTCTCGGTCCGTCTGCTTGGTCAGAACAGACGGAGAGCATCTGTGAACATCTATATTCAAGCTTTGCCACAGATTCTTCATTACATTTATTGTTTTTGCTTCGACTGCATGTTTAGTATCGTTGTTCTGTCAGATGGTGAACGTCAGCCTCTGGCTCAAGTCTTCTCTGACTAATGCTCTCTTCCTCCTTCATGTTAGTTCAGGTGGACGGCCATATCTTGCTAGGTTTGTTAAAAGCTTGGGATGATTTAAAAACAAATCTCACAGGACAAATATGTTAACCTCAGATTAAACAACTAGACTAATTACTAAAAAGTGACTTCTGTAAGTAAATTGTGGATTTTATTTAAGGTTAACAGTGAAAACGAGTTGAAACTAGTCACCGTTTTTCCTCCACTTCACAGACTTGAGGTGGATGTTGGTTTCCAAAGCTTGCGTGTTTATTTAAAAGCTTTCTCCTGCACTCTAAAAACTGTATTTGAGCTGTAGTTCATTTTATGAACTTATATTAATCTCATTTAATTATTTTGGTTCAGTGATGACAACTTCCTGTGGTGGTGCAGGGGTAGATAACAACCCACATAAGGAAGCCTTAGTCCTCGACACAGACGTCACAGGTTCGATTCTGGCCTGATGATCTCAGCTACATGTCTTCCCCCTCTTTCATTGCCCACTTTCCTGTCTAACTCTTCTCAAATAAAAGTCGTCTGAGTCCAAAAAACCTTTTGAAAAGAAAAATCCTTTATTAGTTTACGTCTTTATTTTGAAAAAAAACTAAATTATTTGAGCAAGACTGACTTAAATTTGTCAAGTTAAACCAACTTAATAAATTAGGCTGGATAAACTTAATTGAATCACTTGAAACAATTCAAGTAAGTTGGTTAGTGTGCATTGTGCAGCACAGGTCCCTTTTGCAACCACTGCAGTGAAAGTGAAACAGCTTGTTGTGATCTGACATGACCCCCATGACTTTTGAAAGCATCTTCAGCACAGGAAGGCATGCTTCAGTTGCCAAACCGCCGACTACCTGAGAATAGGTAGGGAAACTCAATGCACCACAACCGTGTCTACACCACTTCAGGTAAAGGCTCACCGCTCTTCATGCCATCCCACGGGGCTTTCCAGTTCCCCCCGGGTATAAAAGTGGGGTGGTGGTGCTGAGGTACAGACGTCTGTCTCAGAGGCTGGCAGTTCAAGGAAACTATAGTAAAATTCCTGCCACTTTGTCAAAAGAAACTTGTATTTGGCATTTGAATGCAGCAGCATCTCACTGAAATGAAAGTAAGCCTCTGCAGGTCAAGTTCTCTCTCACCTCTTGTTCCCATTTTCATGTTTCTGATTATTTTGGCTATTTCTGACCCGCATTTACGGCATGCTTGTTAAATATAGAAAACAGCAAACGAATCAATGTAGGTCATGGCGGTCATTTCCCACCGAAGAAAAGAAAACGTGTGAAGTTTCACACCACATAAAAGAGACATTGCTAAGAAATTAAACCACACACACCAAGGATTTCTCTGTGTCAAGAAGCAGGATGTTGAGAGCCAAGACTTTTTTTTTGTTTTCAACAAAATCTCTTTTATTTTGTCTTTGAACTGCACAGGAAATGGTGAATAAAATTCTTTAGGAAAGTCCCCTTTATTCTAACTAAATACATCTTTCTAATAACCTAAAATGTACACAAATTGTAAGGTCTGTTGTTCTGAAGCTCTCAGGCAAACATACTCGAGCACCTCAAAAGCACTTTTTCTCTATGAAACCATTTGTCCACAAAGCTTCAGCTGATACATGACCAGACGACAAAGAAAGGCTTTACTGCATATGAGACACAGCTTCATTAAATTTCAGAAAGTTCATGAAAAATCGAGCTCCGCCGTTCCAACTTCAGAACTCAGTCGAGTTGGACGAGAGCAGTCAGGTTCTATTGCCACCAGAAACTTGAGGGTTATTAGATTCCTCCTGTTGGAATACTTTGTGAATTTAGGGGACGTCTTCCAGCTTTCCAGCCCCGCTTGTGAGGAACTGATACAAGCTTCTGCTGTGGAGAGAAAGAAAACTAAAAAGACACTGTGGAACAGAAAAGTGTTGCATTCAAGATCACCACTTTTGACCATGTTTAAAAAGTGACCCATGATGATGTAGCATTTTTTCTTTTTCTTCATACATATAGTTCATCATTTGAGAAATTCACTGCATTGGGGCTTCCATAGGTCACGAGTCTTTGAAAAACCTGTTGTGTTTTTACTCAGAGGGGGTTGCAAAATGCTTACGAACAGTTTGTGAAACTCAATCGTTCTCCAAAAAAAACGAAATAAATAAAAAAAAGACAAGGCTAAAGGTGACATTAGAAATTAAGCACCAAAAATTATCTATCCATTCACCATGAATGGAACAATTGTGCAACCTGTTCAACGACTATAATGAACATGGTGGAAAATATTGAACTCCTCAGACGTGAATCGTTTGAATGCAGTCCAGCCCCGCATTGTCTGCAGAGTCTCTGATCTCTCAAAAGATCATCACAGGGAAATAACAAGAAGTCTGTGGTTCCATTCACCAGCATTTATACAATCTGAAAGTCTAATGGTCTGACTTAGCAATGTACTGAACTATTGTGTGACCATTTCTCGACGTTATAAAAAAAGAAGCAAAATCTTTATCGTTAAGCTCTGTTATCAGTAATAGACCGGTGTCTCTGTATATTCTAGCTATGTTTTCATGTACAAATATTCATATCAAAAATTATACAGCACAGATCTCACCATTTTTCCTTTACAAGATTAGTGAACAATTAAATGATTCACAAGTTTAGACAAACCCAACAAAAAAAAAAAGACAGAAAAGAAAAAGAAAATGTGCCGTCCTAAGTCATTTAAAATGTTGATATTACAACTTAAACCTGCTTCAGGCACAACTCAAATAAAGGCATTTGTGAAAACAAACAAAAAAACATCATATCAAATATGGCGCTTATGTCTGGTATTGATAGGCTTAAAATAAAAATAAAATAAAAAAACATATGCTATGACCAGTTATTTACAAACAGCTAAAATCTCTGACAGATTCATGCTTCACTTCACAACCTGAATTTGTCCTTAAAGTGCATGCAATAATAAGCAGTTTGAGCGAGTGGGATCTTGAGTTGTGAGAGGATTAAACAGGTCGATCGAGTTGATGCCAATTGATTCTACATACTGATAAATAAAATCTGGTAGAAAAGTAAGGGACCACATCTTACTGCGTAAGCACAAGTTGGATATGTGACCAGCAGGAGAAAGGAATCCTGTAAAAGAAATAATAAATTAAACAAGAGAAAACCCCTAGCAAACCCCCGTACAGTAATATTCACATTCAGAGATTTAAATTAAATAAATACAGCAAAAATCAAATAATAATAAAAAAGAAATAAAAGCAGCTTAACACCACGGGGGAGTCCGCAGTTCACATTCCACAATGTCCCTCCATGTAACGCACACATTAAGCATCATGGACATGATGGGTTTCTAATTGAACATATCAAAGTGCCCATTTTACTAAAATTTCCTGATTTATTCAATTCATACCAAAGAAGAGGAGATGGCATGGAGGAAAGAGTCTGTTTTCCGAACACATTGAGTTACACTAAGTTTGCTCGTTAGCGGGCGTGTTTGAGGATTCTCCTGTTTTGCTTTCTCCCTCCGAATGTCACAGCAAAAGCAAAACACCCTCTTGTTCGACGATGCAATATCTGAAGTGAGAGAGAGAGAAAGAGAAGA